AGAAGAGAAGAGGAGAGGAGAGAAGAGAAGAGAAGAGGAGGAGAGGAGAGAAGAGGACAGGAGAGAAGAGAAGAGGAGAGGAGAGAAGAGAAGAGAAGAGGAGAGGAGAGAAGAGAAGAGAAGAGGAGAGGAGAGGAGAGGAGGGTTAAATAACATGTTACAGACCCTTTATCCAATAGGAGGCTCCTACCTGCTTGCTTAGTTACATCCAGGTGGAGACTTTCTACAAACCCAGATGACACATCCGATAGTGTAGTCAAAGCTCTGTAGAGGAGTTTGGCCTGTCCTCTACATGTCTCTAAAGGGGGCTGGCTTGTCCTGAACACAGGCAAGGGGATCCACTGACCTACACTCTTCAGACCTGGACTAGATCATTCTTCTCTAATAGAAGAGTCTGTTCTGTAGCTTTTATTTGATTTGTGAAAATATTAGTTTTTCTTTACTTTCACAAACACAGGAATAAAACTGTTCACATGCACGACACTGCTAAATCCCCCTGGCTGCTCAGTAGCCCTACACCTCGGATGCTAGAATCGCTGCTGTGTGCCACTCTGTGCCCGATCTGAGCAGATCACTCCAACTATAACATCTGTGGTAAAAATCAAGAGAATTCAATGCAAAATACTTTTAATGAGCGAGTAGTCTTAAGCTGTGTAAACCCGGGTGTAAAACCACTTTTCTAGCAGGACATTACCTTTGCTTTAATGATCTGTGGCCTGATGGGACCCAAGACCTTCACAGCAACCAAGTGACTGCCAAAACGGTTCTCACTCAGCCAGAGGCTGTCCTCAGAATGCAAGAGCTGGAGGAAGACATTTCCACAGGCACTGCTCAGCCTAAAAGAGCTCTGTACAGTGTGGGTTGGTTCAGCTTATCCGAGTGTAGTTGTGTTTCCCTGCCAGCTTGATGACAGGAAGTGGGGTGGGGGGTTGTGACAAAGGTAACAGGAGGTGGTCAGTGCAAGGTTACCTGTACGCTCCACAGAAACACAACTCAGCACGAAAAGGGTGGTGTTGCTGATTATTCTGCTGCTTTATGGCTTGTTGTCAGACTGAACCAGGGAAGGGCTGCAGGCAGAAAACTCCTGAGCGACTCCGCCCCCTAGCCAATCAGCAACCACAGTCGCATTGCTGGCCCAACTCAGTGCACTTCAGCCTCAACAGAGCAGGGACAAAAAATTGGAAAAAGTAGAGGGACATACTGAACCCTAACCCTGACCCTTGGAAAAGGTGGTCGGGCTGAGCTACACTAGTCCGAGTCACTGTGACTCGTGCTCTTCGAACACTGGCCGAGGTTGACTTAAGGACTACAACTATTGTCATCGAAGTGAGGGATGGTAGCTAGCAACGAGTGGCTGATTAGCTCGGTAAATGCCACCGACAGCTGGTCAGCGCAGGTGTTGAGTACTTTACCTGTAATCCTATCGGGGTCTGCAGCTTTCCCATCTTGCACTTCCATGAACACCCTCCGACACCATCAGCTTCTAGAGTGAGCGGGTGTGAGTGAACAGGAGGAACAGTGCTGATGTGTGTATACAATCTGTCCAGAGCAGCAGGAAATCCTCAATTACCACCTCTTCTGTACTGGTGTTTATGTCCGACACCGTGGGGCAGGGGGAAACCTCTGCACAGTGTGGATTAAACAAACGCGTGTCCTTTTCACCATAATCTATATTTGCTCCCTTTAGACCGAGGGACTTTGCCCTGGTCTGGTTTGGACTTTTTCTCACATGGTTCAAGTGGCACAAAGCAACATCCCTCCCAGCTTCCCAACAAACACACCTCCGTGCTTTCTCAACTTGGTGACTGCACGCTTGGATGATTAGATTGCGTAAGACAACACCACAGAGGCCTAATAGTTTGTAAACCCAGATTACACAGGATTAGCATCTCTTTTGCTCCGCCTCCATTCTCTGTGTGTGTGTGTGTGTGTGTGTGTGTGTGTGTGTGTGTGTGTGTGTGTGTGTGTGCATGTGTGTGTGTGTGTGTGTGTGTGTGTGTGTGTGTGTGTGTGTGTGTGTGTGTGTGTGTGTGTGTGTGTGTGTGTGTGTGTGTGTGTGTGTGTGTGAAAGGGGTGATGTGCGTATGGGGTGAGGCGGGAGCTGAATGATGCTGCGGACAACAGAGCCAGATGGGACAGAACCCCTAAGCAGCTTAGAGTGACAGTAATCATGTTGCATCAGTGTGTGTTTTAGCTGTTATACAGCAAACTCCCAAATGCTGATGTCAGACAGGAAGTGGAACGGGGCTAGCCTGCGCCTGTGTAGGAGGAAGGTAGTCCTGTGCTAATGAGACCTAACAGGACCAGCAGAGTGGGGCATGAACCAGCAGTCCGCAGTCACGCCTGATCTGCTACCGTGCTGCTGGAAGTGCGGTAATACCCAGACACAGTGCAGCATGATGACTCTGGTCATTTTCTCTATGTTGACCAAAATAAAACAATAAAAGAAAAAATGCAAATCCTAGAGAGAGAGAGAGAGAGAGAGAGGAGAAGTAGGTACCTGCATGAATATTCAGCAGTGGGGCTTCGGCTTCACAACAGCAGTGGTCACGGATCTGTTATAAAGAGGACACATTACTGCCGCGGTCTGACCGCTCGTAAACAACGTAAGAAACGCACCAGACGCGGAAGCACGATGAAGCACCGTGGAACGGCGAGCACTTCTAATCGGCGCACTTGTTAACCTACGCACTCGGTCACATCCGCCGCAAAGCGCCGCGAAGGCTCACGCTGGGAGCCATCATTTCAACGTGAGCTCTTTTTTCTGTGAGCCGCGTCAATTCTGGCAGGAAGTCAAACCAAAGCAGAGGCAGGGCGGTAAATTTAAATAAAATAAAAATTACAAAATAAAACACAGCAATTGAAAAATGTGATCATTTTTGTTTTAACAGATTAGAGAGATGAAAATGAACACACACACACACACACACACACACAGCAGGGGTTGGAAAACAGTAGGTGTGAGCAGAAGCACTCATTGAAAATTCTCGCCTGATGTGAACTGAGGAGGGGCGGTCAGCACAAACCTCGTGAGCCGTCCGCTTTGCGGCGCTTCGCAGTTGATGTGTTCTGGGCGTAAGGGTTGCGGCGTTGCAGCGAGTTGACGGCGTTGTTTAGTAAAAACGGCTTTAGCTGCATTAGCTGTTCGTTTTTGAGCTGTATGTGAATTTCACTTGTTTCATTTTTAGTAGCAAGCCTCTCCAGCGGAGTGGTCATTAGTCTCAATGCAGACACCAGAAGCTAACGTTGGTAGCTAGCGCTAGCGGCTTTCCTTCTCATTCCCATAGATGGTGACGACAGCTAGCTCCTCTCTCAGCCTGCTGGACAATCTTTGATGGGGTTGATATGAATATGAATGATAACGTGATGGGAACGTTTTCCTCTGCCCTGAAGTAACAAGATGTCCAAGCGCCACCCTGTGGTGTGTGAGCCTGTCCACAGGGAGGGACAGCAAACCCACACCGACGACCACTAGAGCTGCTACCTTCTACGAGGACATTTACAACACATCCTAAATAATACATGTTACTCTGTGGAGTGAGTCCGTGCTCTGACCCTCTGCCTCTGACACACCCTAGTGCTCGTCACACCAGCTGGACTTAAGAACAAAGAGAAAAACTGTTCTTTTGAAACTCAACCAAAACCAGAATTAAGTCCAAAACTTGTAAAGGCAGTTCAAATGTAATCTAACTTTTTCATACTTTTGGTAAACCCCTTTTTTCCAGGATGGCAGCCCTACCAGTCTATGGTCTACCTGTTGGTCCCTGACGTTTGCTTGCGTGTGTGTGTGTGTGTGTGTGTGTGTGTGCTCTTATAGTTAAAGTTTTCTTCTCCAGTTTCTCTAACATTTGCACTAGATGTTCTAATTAACGTTCTCAATATGTTTGGGAAGTTTTTGATTCATGCAATTAGGCAGATGGTCCTGTTAGTCCACCTCAACCCTTGTTGCAGAGACGAGGCCTGCAGTCTGAGACCGTCTGCTTGGCCCCATTCCTGGTAAACTAAGGCCTGTTGTGTGGTGTGGTTGATCCCAACCTTCTCACAATCTAAAACCCACAAACTTCCTCCATCTTCAGCCTGGATCCTGCTCTGGCCTTCCTAGTCTGTGGCTCAGACCTTGGCTGGCCCGGTCGGAGTTTTTCGCCATCTTCAGCCAGGACCCTGCTGGTCTCTGCCGGGTCCTTCCTTGGGTTCTTCTGGTCTGGTTTATCTGGTCTGGGACCTCCCTTTATCCCGTCTTGGTTTCAGAGGTGCCTGATGGCAGTTTGTTCTAGCTTCAGCTTTGCTACTATAAATGCCTAAATCCTCTCCAGGGAGCCGCGTCGAATCCCGTTTTGCAAACGCTCTGGTCCTGTAAAAACAGCTTAAGAGGTTTAAACCAGTATTCTGGCTATGCCTATAAAACAGGATCCAGTTGTTTATGACGTGGTGAATCATCTGGAGACAGCTTTGTCAGATTCACCAAGTCATTAAAAATTTCTTCCTGACAACAAAAATCCTCCTAGCAACAATGTAACGAGTGTGAAGACTGCATCAGGCTGGAGCCCGGAGAGGAGAGGAAAGCGGCTCGGGCTTCAGGAGGGTTAGGGTTAGGAACATCTCCATCACATAGATCTGTGTCTGTGCATGTGTTCATGTCCATCATAAGGACAGAAGGTACATCTTTATATTTACACTGTTGTAGGTGTTTCAAGCCCCAGAGCTTAAATTATCTACGTCTGCAACTAATCCTGGATTTTATCAGCTTTCAGAAAACTCGTTCGGAGCTCCAGCGCTCTCACTTTACCGTTGACTTCCAGTTTCCTCCTCATGTCGGTCTCTGGCCTGCTCCCCCCAGCATCCATCAGCCTGGTTACACCCTGACGTCCTGCTAGGTTTCCCACAGCTGCAGCAGCTCGACACCACTGGCTGACTGCACCTTATACTTGTGTGAAAAACATTTTTTCAGAATATTCTTTAGATTACAGAGATTTATCAACTGTGTTGCAGTCATGCAAGCA